AAAAAAACCTGGGCATAAACATAAGCAGCCTACTGATACTTATTAGAATCCACTGTGGATGACATAGACAGAATGATTAGCCTCTAATAGAAGGTTGAATAACACAGATTCTGATAACTTTCATGTTTCCTTGTATGCAAGACTTTCTTGTTCTTCCTCCTAATTTCTAATGAGTTGCCAGCAAGAATTCAAGTAGACCAATTTTAGTTTTCTCTCTCCTAATTTACTCATGTGAGAAAAGATTAAGAGTGAGAGAAAACACAAACGATTATAATTAAACACCAAATACCTGAGAGTGGATTGCTATCCGACTCACTTCTATTTTGTTAGAACAGAATAATTCCCACAATGCTATAAGGATTCTGAATAAAAGTGGATCTCTACATTCTCTGTAAATTTGCCTAATCTTATCTTTAAATGCACAAGGTTTTTGAGTTTCTATTCCTCTTCTTTCAGACTTGGGTATAAGTAATATTGTATGTAGTACTGAGGGATCTATATTAATGCTAGAGATTATGCCTAACACTTTGTATAGTTGTTCGTTAAATCTTCAAAATATTCCTGCAGGATAAATATAATACCTATTTTAAAACACATACACACACGGCACATATAGGTTACAGATTTAGATAGAATAAATTTACCTGAGAATTTGTAGAGGTGGAGTCTACCAATGACAAAGCAAAAGGCACTGTGTTACCTGAAACCAAGGCAAACATAATACCTGTGCCTGCAGATGGGCGAATAATCAAGGTCACATTGAGTTGCCAACCCTCAGCATTAGTTTTGTTATCTGTTTAAAATAATTAAACAGAAGCACAATCAGTGGACTTCTAAAGTGAACCAGAAAAATCAGTTACAATCTGATTAACATTCAGAGACACTCTATATAATACCATAGTTTTTTTTTCAAATATAAACAAGAAACACACAAATGGAACCACATGCTTCTGTTCTTCCTAGAAGAGAATTCTGGATTATAGTGTTAAGTATTATGAATTTGCCCTGTTTGCTCTTTAATAGCTTTATTTTCCCTTGCATATTTATCAATGTTCAAATCTCAGAGTGAACATATTTTAAAGTGCACATTTAGAAGAAAGGTCATCAAGTTTATTGTCATATTGGAGATAAATGTTGAGTACCATTGCATTACCACCCCATCATTCCTTATTCTAGAGTAGCTGGGAAATAAAATATGATTTACAGGGCCGGGGATTTAGCTCAGTGGTTCCAGTGCCGACCTTGCAAGCACAAGGTCCCGAGTTCGATCCCTGGTACCAAAACAGAAAAAATGATCTACACACATTGAGGGGCGGGGGTTGATAGTACACAAATACTACCGAACAATTACTTTTAAAGGTAGAATGAAAACTTTTATCCTGTGAATCTATTATTATAAAACTTCACATTTTTTCTCAATTACTAGATTAGTTGTCTACCAGAATGGAGTGTAAGTTAAAAGAGATACATGTTTCTATCATCAATATGTTTCCACAAGAGACACTCAATAAATATTTGTTGAACTAATATGTTTAGCAAGTATAACTATATGCCACATGATGACAGTTCAGACAATAAAAAATTCAGTCACATATAAATGAAGGTCCTGTAAGACTATATAACCTAGTGACATTAATAACAGGCTTAGATTAAGTACCCTGTGATGTTTATACAATGAAAAAAAAATCACATAACAACACATTTTTCAAAATGTATCCCCACTATTAAGCTCTAGAAATAGCTACCTCAATTAATATCAAGTATTGTCGTTAGACTCCCAAAAATATCTGTTCACAATCTGAATAGATATTAAGTAAGTCCTTCTTACTTAATGTGAAGTAATGTAACAAAGCCCAAATACCACTTGGAACCTCTTTGAAAGGGTGATTGGGAAAAGAGAAAATAATTTTCCTTTGACAAGGTGTTCTATAATTTAGCCACCTATAACACAACTGCATGTTTCATTATAATCCTATAAGTCCCACCCAGGTGAGAATAGATATATTTCACCATGAAATAAATAATTTAACACAAGATATTAACAAATTCAAATTAAACAAATATGCAAATATATGAGTTATAACATTAAATATAAAGTAGGTCACTTTCAAGTTACTGTTGAATAAACTTGTTACTTATAGAAACAATTTGTAAGTGTAATATA